GCCCTCACCTGCACTCAAAAGATGGCCACTAGATATATTTTCTTTTTTTATATCAATTTTTTTAAATTGGATTTTTTTTTTTTTTTTAAAAGAAACGTGAACACACATTATGTAGTTGGTGAGGCAGACAGGACAAGGTGTACTCACAACATTTTCAGCATTTATTTGCTTGAGCTTACCTTACGTGACAGCGTTTTTAAACATCAAAAAGTGCCTTTCTCGGACTGCGTTATCTTTTTACGCGTCACCACGCGCATAAACGGCAGCTTTTCAGCAGTTCCCGAAAGGCGAACGGTGGCCCTCCCGAGGCCCAGTGCTCCCGGACAATGCATTCATTTTTTAGAAGCAGCCTTGGGGGTGATGTGGAGGCGTTGTGTCTGCACATTTGAGCATCAAACTTTCACTTTGTGCGTTTGCTGTTGATGCGTTCTGACTGCAGGCCAATCATTTCACATGGCGGCTTGCCACCAGTTTGTCTTTATCTTTTATGCATGACTTCAGATTTTTTTTTCTCTACTTGTGCCCTCACCTGCACTCAAAAGATGGCCACTAGATATATTTTCTTTTTTTATATCAATTTTTTTAAATTGAATTTTTTTTTTTTTTTTAAAGAAACGTGAACACACATTATGTAGTTGGTGAGGCAGACAGGACAAGGTGTACTCACAACATTTTCAGCATTTATTTGCTTGAGCTTACCTTACGTGACAGCGTTTTTAAACATCAAAAAGTGCCTTTCTCGGACTGCGTTATCTTTTTACGCGTCACCACGCGCATAAACGGCAGCTTTTCAGCAGTTCCCGAAAGGCGAACGGTGGCCCTCCCGAGGCCCAGTGCTCCCGGACAATGCATTCATTTTTTAGAAGCAGCCTTGGGGGTGATGTGGAGGCGGGGCTGGGCTGTCGGGTTGACGTGGGGCACACTTAAACGGGAATTGCTAAAAACGTTTGCATCCTAACAGCCGGTTAGCAACTTCTGTCCACAAATGGCTCTCTTTCTTTATGTTAGCCTAAGTCCTGCTTCCCGAGTTGGGCCACTCTTTTACAGCCAATTTGGAGAAAAAAACTTGTACAAATAGACTCATTATTTTCATAAATTAATTATTGATGAATTAATTCTTGAGGAATTCTCACCAGAGGGCAAACATTTGTACCTGCCGCTGTTCTCGATAATGAGCTTTAATTGACTGAGGCCACACACACACACACACACACACACACACACACACACACACACACACACACACACACACACACACACAGTTGCCCCCAGGAGTGTCCTCTGGCTCGAGCGATGCCCTATATGCAAATGAGTAGCCTCATTATTCACTAATTCCTTATTGCCACTGTATGGGTAAGCTGGCAAACGGCCTCACGTTGGGCAAAGGCGTGTTGAGTCGTGTCAGCAAGTCCAGGGTCTTTCTTTGGGGGGCCGGCACCTCAGCCGGGCAGCTCAGGCGTCCTCGTGGAACCTTCATATATTGTTACTGTGACTGCAGACAAAATGTGCATGAATTATACACTCGCCAGCCTAAACCTGTTAATTAAATGAGATGCGAGGCCAAGCGCCACGTTAGTCGCCACAACGCCCCCACCACATATGCTCCATCTGCCGGCATGCCTGCCTGTGGTTCGTCTGTTGCCTCAAGGCCCGCCGCTCTGTCCTCAGGTGCCACATCTGGTTCCAAAATGCCCGCGCGGCAGCCACGAATACATTTGTGGCCACAACGTCCGCTGCCACCTCCAGTCATTCTTCATTTGACGCCACAACATGCGAAGTCAAATCCACCCGCGTCACGTCTGCCGCCATCTTTCCTGGCAGTGACACATCCGCCGGCTCCGTTTTCGTTGCCATGACAAACGCCGTCATGTATAAAACCGTCACATCTGCTCCCTACTTCTAAACATGTAAACAATTGGAACTGAGACTCACTCAGACGTACATTTTTGCGCTGTTTTGTGGGAACGACGACCATGACGGCAGCTTAGCAGTGGACCTTCTTTGCCTCAGCTCGTGATTATGCTGCAAGTACATCCAGTCAAGACGGCATGTTGTGGCACAGCGCGGTGCTAATTTGGATTTGCTGGTTAGTAAAGACGCATCAAGTAAACGATATAGCAGGGAGATGAAAAAATAACCCTCGCCATAGCGGGAGGTCGCCCCAAAAGGGTGGCTGCCTTTCCAGCAGCTGCTATGCTTTTTGCTCTTCTACTTTCTTCCTTTCATAACTTTGCTGCTGCAAATTGGGAATTTTTCCATTGTGAGACGAATAAAGGTTTTCTTATTCTTATAAAATACCTTTGGTTACAGTACAGTCAAATGTCTGCCCTCTCACACACATCCACACACATCACTACACCCCTCTGCTCTTAGGTAGTATCCCTTATGGTGTATCACTTGTAATGGACTTCTTAATGAGTGCCCAGTGCAGATACTCATCAGTGATCAATGATGTCGTTGGCCTCTTGACTTCCTCGCAGCCTGGCGGGCGTCTGTTGGAGGGTGACGCCTTCCCCTCGCGTCCCCTTTTTTTTTTCCCAGGTCGTTATAAATATGTATCCACTCGCCACAAGTCAGACCTAGAGTGAAGTGCCGGGGCCGGTAAATATGTATGCTGGTTATGAATATTTATTGTTGACTTATTGAGATGTGTCATGCACTCTTGAAGGGCAACATATGCCTTCACTTCCGATGTGCCTCGTTGTTTAACTCAAGACTGTTTATTCCTTCTGTATGTATTCTGTATTATAAACCCGGTGGCGACTTGAGAGTTTCACGGTGACGCATTCAAACAATGTCAATTTCTAAAAAGAAATTAACCAGAAACAGGCTCTGCTGTGTGCATTCAGATATGGAGTTTGTGGTTCATTATCCGATGTCATCGTCGTTCTGTTTATAGTGACTGTCAACAATTGGACGTTTGTGACCGTACTGTGGTTCATGTTTCGTGTTAGACAAGAGATCCTTGCAAACTGCATTTCGGTCCATTATTCAGTGCGGAAAAAAAAAAAGTGTTTATAATGTATAAGTTCTATTATGTGAGCTTGTACTGTTGACTGTGTATCATCACAACAATAACAGAATGCACAGCCGTGCCTCGCCACACTCAGCGCGACATTAATAAATACACTTCTTCGTTTTGACGCATTGATTTTAAATTGGAGTAAAAAGACGTCAATGATTGCTTTCTCTCGCGTATATTCTCTTGACTATGATTTCATTTTTTCCCCCCCCAACTCGCTCGCAGCGTGCCGTCTCGGCTTCTATCGGGGGCCGTTCTCTTCCCCCCCCCCCCTCCTCCTCATCCTCCTCCGAGCTTGTCACACCAAAGTGCCGGAGCAAAATATAAGCACAATAGATCATCCTGACAGTTTAATTTCGCCGCTTGATTATCAGTCAATTTGATAATTATATCATGCAGCCATCCAATTAATGGCTTCTATATTTACAATGATCATCAAGCGAGCTCTCTGCGGCGTTGGCGTCGTTCATCATTGCTGAGATATGAGCATCTCCGGGGAGCTTGACAGCGCGGGCGCCTTCTTGATTGAGATGTGGAAGTGGGGGGAGGGAAAAAAAAAAAGCATGTGTTAGTTCCGCTCCGATCTTGGACACTGTACGGCATATTTCATGCCTCATCCTTTTCTCTCCGCTGCAAAGTGGACCCAATGCAAACAATCTGATTTTTCCTGGGGATCAGCTGGATCCAGTCGGGACACTTTCATGTCACGCTTCCCATCTGGGGCGTGTTTACATGACCGCCCTAATCACCCGACACGCCTATTTTATTTTATTTTTTTTTTGGGCATTTGCTCTAACATCGCAAGTCGCACGAGCTGTGAGATTCCGCACTGTAGCCTTTACAAAGATAATTATTTCCACCTAATCTTTACTAAACATACTTGACAATTTAAGATTATCCGGGGCCAATAGATTCTCAATGAGAAGAAGATTCGCTTGATAATTTCATCCATATCAGGATGCGACTCTCTTCACACTGAGCACTTTGGTCAAGATTGGAGCTTGGGAAGCTGTGTTATAATAGTTTTGTGTTTCGTGGTGAATCGAAACTTTTGCCATATTGATGGCGATAAAGTCAATTTCTTAGCGGAAGTTCAAGGTCAACGTCAAGGTCATCTTTATTGTCAAATATGCTTTATGTATGACATGCAGCATAGATGAAATTTCTTCCTCTCAATCCTCAGTGCAAACATGCAAACATGCTGTGCATTAAACACACACAACTAAGACAAGATAGCAGCTAATGTAATGTGGACAGTATAAACAGTACAGACAATATAAACAATATAAACAACATAAACAATGGCACTTGTGGGTAAAGTGAGGTAGTGCATTGTGCAATTTAAAAGTTGGTTAAAAAATGGCCTAACTGGCCAAAATACCAAACTATCTGTGCATTTCACAGCGCAAGGTCTCATTCATTTCCGATTGTGTGTTCATTGGATGAACTGATGATGGCAGCCGCTCATTTTTTTTCGAACACTCTTGGGGGTGCCTTTCATCTTTCATGGTTTTATCATTGAGCTTTAGCGCTAAGATTCGCTCACATCCCGCGATGGAATTCACACTTTTCGCAATTAAGTGTCATGCGTTTGTCGAATAAACCAGTTGCAATTTTGGTGGTGATGGTTTCACCGTATCGGTTGTTCATTGACTTCGGGTTCAAATACGATGGATGTTGGGTTTGATTCCCGACGGAGTTTGTTCAGGTACTACCACGGGAAATCTCTGAAAATTGACACCTTGAAACCAGAATATCCCTCTCCCTTTGCATTTCACAGCCTCGGTAATCCTGGGATTTGTGTGCATCCTCTTATGATGGCACAGGTGGCGGGTGCTCATATTTTCTTCTTGGTTCAGAATGAATCATCGAACTTTGATGCCAAGCTGCGACTGCACCCTATGATGAAAACTCGCATGCTTTTCGCATTTAAAAAAAATGAGTCCATCTGTCTAGCTATCTTTCTTCTTCATCGCAGACGATGTGCCTCCTTACTTTAAAACGGAGCCGGTGCGGAGTCAGCTGCATTTGGAGCGCAACCGGCTGGTGCTGACCTGCATGGCCGAGGGCAGCTGGCCTCTGGAGTTCAAGTGGATCCACAACAGCACCGAGCTGACCCGCTTCTCTCTGGAGTACAGGTGAGCAATTAAGAGGGTCTTCAATGTCTCACAGATTTGTGAAGGCTAGTTTCACTGGAAGACGCTCACATGGCGTTTTTTTTTTTTGTCATTGCATGTGGGCGGAGCATGGCGGCCATGTTTGATGACTCAAATCTCTAATGCTAGTTTTACACGATGTCCACAACGGTCACGTTTTAGACCCCTGTGAACAAAAAAAAAAAAACACTGGATATGAGACAAAGCAGGGGGGGAAGGTATGGGCAAATGATTACCTCGGGCCAATTATTTAGTGTAATAAAAAAATTGGCAGGGCAATCACGGTGCTTATGAGAAACCTAGTCGTCCGTCGTAAAATAGGATGAACACAAACAAAATGTGACCGTACACAGTCGGCCATGAAAATTAAGCTCCCAGTTTGAATTAGCAAAATAACATTTGGTGGGCATGCCTATAATGAGTAGACCCACAAAAAAATAAGTTTTAACAAGCCATGCTTCCAGCCATTGTCGGGTTGTTTGGTCATGTTCGCGAAATTTTAAAGACTGTAGTGCACTGTCATGCGTTTTTCCTCTGCTACGTATTTCAATGAAGATGAAGCTTACACATTTATCAATCTCCTCATTAACAGTGTTCTGTATCATCTACCCACCACAATAAGAGCCACGGTTGCTTCTGCTGTTGCCCGTGTTCCCCTTTTCCTTCTCTGCTTTGCCCTTCTGACACGTCTATCATGCTCTCGCGCAGCATGCTAAACGTGTGTGTGTGTCGTTTGTGTGTGCGCGCGCGTGTGTGAGGTGGTAGGGGTTGGCAGATAAAGCGTCTTTAACGGTAACTGGAAGATTGTTATCATGCAGCCAACACGGCCTTATCTTTCTCAGCTGTGTGTGTGTGTGTGTGTGTGTGTGTGTGTGTGTGTGTTCCTCACAAACACACACACACACTGCTGATCATACAGTGTATGCGAAGGGAAAAAAAAAAAAAAAAGAAGGATGCCATGCTTGGCGAGTTGATGATGTCTCGCCGATCTCCAGAGGCCGATAAGAGCAGAGTGACATGCGAGTGTGAGAAGTGGTCAGAGTGTACTCGAGAGGGGGAAGCGCACAACACGGTCACTGCACTGTCTTGTGAGGATGAGTCACACAGCAGCATGTCCAGAAGGAGAAACCGAGAATAATGTAACAGCGAAGCTGCATATGGCACTTTTTTTTTTTTTGTGGTCCCCATCCAAGTGTAAGCAATCGTCTTTTTGTGCTGACGAGGACACTCCTTTTATTTTGTCAGAAGGCTGTTTATACTGCTTTCCAAGTGAAGCGTCAGGCGGCTATTTAGCCAAGGTTACCTTTTATGCTCTTTTTCCAAGTACCGTAGCAATTGTATGTTTGTATTTGTATTTGTATTATACGTGTGACAGGGGGCGTCGTGTAGTAAGAAGATCTTGTGTATGCTTGTATGGGAGAAACGGCCTTCGCAGAGGTTACTCTTGTACACTCTGTTCCAAGGGAAAAAGTACAGATTTTTATCACTTTTATGAATTAGATCAGGTGCGGAATGCCAAAAGTTTCAGCCGGTGAGCGCTCGCGTCAGTGGTCAGGTATCGCGACAGGAACTGAGTGTGGTCTGTCGCTCAGTCTTGTCAGTAGTGTCCTTGTTATGCAGCAGATGAAAGTCAGATGATACAACTTTTTTCTTTTTCTGTTGTTTTTTCGGGCATTTTTGGGCTGTTTTTTGTTTTTTGGTTTTTTGGTCACCATCCTTGCTGACAGAGTTTCTTTTGATCCATATTTCAAACTGCTCCTTTCCAAATTCATGCAACGCAGCCTTTTTCAGGCAATGGGGGGGGGGGGGGCAGCACATTTTTTTTTTTTTGCCTATAATTTGAGTGCTGCGAGTGCAGAGAGCCGCTCTAAATACCGACATCATGTGGACATGACTTTTTGTCTGAGTCAATCAGCTCATCAATAAAACCAGGTGGCAACTCTTTGCTATGTAGAAGGTGGCGTGGGATTGTTTCGGTCATAATTTTGCAATGTTTTTTTTTTCTGTCATAAACACAAACAAACCTTAAAAAACATCCCGGCGTGTATTGCCAATGTCCATGGAACCATATTCAAAAATTTCTATTCACTCTTTTTTTTTTTTTGCCATTTATTCTACAGTCTATCGTGTTATCAGTGAAAGGGCTTGCGGTGAAAGAGACCTGGACTCTGAAAAACGCGCATATTTCAAATATACAATCATTACTTGGAACTAAGCAATACAGTCACCCTGAGTGATGAAGCCAATAAAGCTTCACATAGAAAACAGATCACAAGGTCTTCTGACAACAACAGCTGTCACACTTTTCTACCAGATAAGATTTTCCTTGAGATCACAAACATCCAATTGCTACTTGGAACTTAATGTACAAAAATATCCTCGGTGACGCTCCTTCTCGCTGCTACCCGAACACATGTAGCACAACGACCAAGTCGGTGAAAGGTGATTTGATGTCGGCAAATCTATTCATTGCGGCAAAATTAAATTGCGTGACATCAAAGATATAACAGCTCCTCAGACGTGACTTTTTATCGGAACAATGTCCCTTCCTGCCACCGCTGTCTACTTTTTGAAATGTGTAAATTAGTTTTGGTTGGCAGTACAGTCACAACAATAGGGGAAAACTTTGCTTCCCACCCCCCCCGAGCCAATTGAGTGGGAACAAGCGTGACAATGCGACTGCCACTTTGACCGTGCTCGTAATAGAGCGTCGCAGGCGTCGCTTGCTGTTTGATTGAGCCGCGCCGAATAAATCAAACTGTGCAGCAATAGATTTGTCATCGACATCTCACAACACGTCAATTCACACAGGAAATCACCTGACATCTGTTGCGAATATTTTGACGATGTTGTCATTTCATGGCTGATCTGAGCAAATGAAAGTGAGCACAAATATCTAGCGAGCTATCTAGCTAGCTAGCCACACTGGTACCTCTACTTACGAAATTAATTGGTTCCGGAATAAATTTCTTCACTAGAAAATTTTGTAAGTCAAAACGCGTTTTCCATGTAAATGCCCTAATTCGTTCCAAGCCCCCCCAAAATTCAGTCATAAATGTTTCCTAAAGCATAAAAATGCATGAAAATATGGAACAAATACATGTTACAATTAGATTATTGCACAATAAAGGAGAACTGTGCATCATGTAAAAAACAAAGACGAGTAAAGTAAAGAATAAAGATGGTCATTTAACTTTTAACTGCGTCAATGTGTACGATCAGACCCCATGAACAAGATAGCTTTGTGGCAAATGGGTTCTGTTAGACGCTGGCAATCCATTAAGGTCACCGGGCCAAAGAGATCCTGGCTGGTCCAAAAGCTCCACCCCCTCGCGAGACCACCCGCATAACCCCGTAGATGTCATGAAGTGATTCAAGTGCACCATCGTGTGAGTATCGGGCAAGTTTTTTCCACGACTAATTGGATGTTGCTGGCCGTTCTTTGCCCTCCTGATAGTGAGGTCAGCGCTCATCTCACTTAACGAGCCACAATAACAAAACAATCACTGTGACTTCACTGGGAAAAATAGAAAGAAAGAAGCTGTCTTTTTCAAATAAGATACTTTTACACAGATATTGGTTGGTTTTCTTTCATATTTAGAGAGCACACAAAAATCGTTTTGTTTTTTTTTCGTGCAATGTGCAACTACTTTGAGTCCCTGAAAATTGAGGTGAATACTGTATTTTTGTCAAACTGTCAGATTCACAGCTGCCGTTTAGCCTCAGAAGATGGGAAATTTGGCAGCTCACCGTTGTGGGTCCCTTTCCCACCTTCCATTAACCTGTGGGAAACAAGCGCTTTGATGGGGAGTGTCAAAGCGACTACATTTCCCAAGTTAAACTTTTTTTTCTGTTTTTTCGGCATGGTCAGAGGGATGCTGTGAAAATATTACCAAGATGTCTGTTTTTTTCTGCGTGGTCAGAGGGATGCTGTGAAAATATTACCAAGATGATAATGACAATAACTTCCTTTTTGAATTGATTTCCACAATGATTTAGAGGGATTGTCCCACAAATCCACCAAAATAGTAATCCACCACCTGTGCCACCACTGTTTTTTGCGAGTCTAAAATCTAGTCTCCTTTTGTCAGCAAATTGCCAGATGCGCCGGGGGTTACGGCAGCTTTGCCCGCCGCTGGAACGCCCAGCGAGGGGTTGCGCGTCAACCAAATTCACAAACGTGCTCAACTAGACTTGACGCACCCCATTTCACGCTGAGCGCACAGGCGCTTTTCTATGAAAATAAGGCCCAATTTTACAAGTCAGGATTCAGTTACAAGTCGCATTGTTCGCTGACAGTCATGTGTAAAATTGGTTTCAATGTAATGTACGTTCGTGGACATTTGTGATCAAGATGCGGCTGAATGTTTGAGATTCATCAGATTTGTGAATACAAAGGAAAGGAAATTAGAACAAAAAATATGATCCACAAGCATGTCAATTCAATGGAATGTAATTGCAGGCTCTCGAGCAGCGTTCTCAAAATTGTCTACCTGCAGCCTTCCACCTGTCATCTTTCCACCACTTCCACACCTCTGTCCTCCACACATCCTTCTCAACACAGCTCCGGAGTGGGGACTAATTATCAAGGATGTGACGGAGTGTGCCGAGCGCCGGAACATCGATCAATCTCTGTCTCACGCCGTCATCTCCCGCTGACTTGACCACATCACCTGCCCTTCCCCTCCTTTCTCTCTTCCCGCCTCCCGCCATCCCTCCTGCCGATACCGCCACCTGCCGCTGCTCACCAAAGGTTAATTGTATTCATTATGAGGGAAGTGAGTAAGAGCTTCTGAAGTCACCCTGAAGCTCAGCCTCGACGAGGTTAAACTCGAACCTCTTGATGACGTGGCTCGTTGTCTAATTCCCGGTCCAAAATGTCCGACGACATATGTTTGATTTGTAGCCAAAACCCAACCAGGCTTTGATGGCCGTGTAAAAAAAAATTAAAAAGCAGGTTCTTCGAACTTTTTTCAAAATCAAATTTCAACATACTCCACCGGAATAGGAAATGAAACACGAAACGAAAACTCAAATGTTACTATGTTAGTGTGTCCTCCATTTGTCGAGTACATGATTGGTAGCAATTGGACCAACTATCTGGGACAAGACTGCGAGATGTGGCCCAAAAGTGACTCGTCCAATCAAAGGCAGCTTCAAAGCAACTACTCGTGATTGACGTGCCAACAAATTTGTCATGTTTTGAAGTGTAACATGCTTGGGGAGGCTAACTTCTCTCTCCAAAATCAGTGTGTCAAAATGTCTGTGGACGGGGCTACTTCCACGAAGTGTAACAGGCTTGGGAAGGCTAACTTCTCTCTCCAAAATCAGTGCGTCCAAATGTTTGGGGGCGGGGCTACTTCCACACCATACGGTTTTAATCATTTATTTGTGGTCTTTTTCGTCGCTAAACATGATCCTAAAATGTTACTAAAAAGCAGGTTCTTCAAACTTCTTTCAAAATCAAATTTCAACATACCTGTACTCCACGGGAATAGGAAATGAAATACGAAACAAAAACTCAAATGTGACTATTTTAGTGTGTCTTCCATTTGTCGAGTACATGATTGGTAGCAATTGGACCAACTATCTGGGACAAGACTGCGAGATGTGGCCCAAAAGTGACTCGTCCAATCAAAGGCAGCTTCAAAGCAACTACTCGTGATTGACGTGCCAACAAATTTGTCATGTTTTGAAGTGTAACATGCTTGGGGAGGCTAACTTCTCTCTCCAAAATCAGTGTGTCAAAATGTCTGTGGACGGGGCTACTTCCAGACCATACGTTTTTAATCATTTATTTGTGTTCTTTTTCGTCGCTAAACATGATCCTAAAATGTTACCCTAAAATGGCAGACTTCCCCTACCTTTGTTTCCTGTTATTGTGTCAGTGCTTCCGGTCAAAATGGCCGACGACATATGTTTGATTTGTAGCCACAACCCAACCAGGCTTTGATGGCCGTGTAAAAAAAAACTTCATATGCAAAACAATCACTTTTTTTCGCCAGCATTTTCCTCGTGCAGGCGCCCCGCTATCATCATCACCACCACGCTCGAAGGTGGGAAGATGGCGGGCACAGTGCGTAGTGGCAACTTTTTCACCTCCCACACCAAGACCATACGTTTTTAATCATTTATTTGTGTTCTTTTTCGTCGCTAAACATGATCCTAAAATGTTACCCGAACTCAACTCAACTCAACTAAAATGGCAGACCTCCCCTACCTTTGTTTCCTGTTATTGTGTCAGTGCTTGTTTGTCACTACATATTTATCGCATGTGGCCCGGCTGCGACACCAACTTTCGTGTCTGCCGGGTAACTTTTAATTGCTCTTTCATATGCAAAACAGTCACTTTTTTTCGCCAGCATTTTCCTCGTGCAGACACCCCGCCATCATCATCACCACCACGCTCGAAGGTGGGAAGATGGCGGGCACAGTGCGTAGTGGCAACTTTTTCACCTCCCACACCAACTTTTTTTTTTTCTTTCCCCCTCAACAAAACGCTAGACTAACTCCCAATTAAAACGCGTACGAAGGACTCGGTCGCTGATAATTCGGCTGCAGACTGTTTGCGTGATCTCCATACCAGCCTACTTTTATCCAACTCGAGCCACACTCCATTAACAATTTACAAGGTTTTGACGCTTGCCTCCCTCCAATTAAGGGCTTAAATGAGAGAAATTCTGCAACCTCTACGCGGCTCAGCTCCTCTCCGGGCGGCAATGCATTTGGGTATATTAGACTTGCAAGAAAGCCCAAGACATCATTGATTACCGGCGTTAATGTGCATGAAAGGGTGGAACTTGCACTGTATGCACGGTCAAGGTCAACTACTCTACTGTACACTCAGATGCTTGTGTGCGTATTTGCATAAATGACATTTTTAAAAAGGCGTGTGTGTGTGTGTGTGTGTGTGTGTGTGTTTGTGTGTGTATGTGTGTATGTGTATGTGTATGTGTGTGTGTGTGTGTGTGTGTGTGTGTGTTTAAGAAGGAGGGGGTCTCCCTTCACTGTGGTACCCTCCAGAGAGTCATTATCATTGGAGTAAACAGCAGCAGCTAAGCTCTGCTGTCCTCTGCGCCCTTGCTCATCCATTAGATGGTCTTAACTGTGTGTGTGTGCGCGCACTTGTTTTTTTTTTTTGCATGCATGCATGCGTGTGTGCGTGCAATACATACAATACATACCCATTTCATATTACAAAGAGCCTGAAATGACATCAGACTTTGTAAAAGTGTCGTGTAAAAAAAGCATTGTCACGCTAACTCAGGTGTGAATGTGCAAAAGGAACACGTTTGCACATCTGGGCCGTAATCACGCTGTCGAATCAATATTTTGTCCGTGGCATACTTCTGAGGCAAATTGTGGACAATATTGAAGAAGAAATAGATGTGAAACATGTCTTTGATTTCAGTTCATGATACATGGGGGGGGCTAATACTGTTGCCGTTATATTTTCGTTCAGTTGAGTTGTTGCATATCCAAGCTAACTAGCATACAACGTGTCAAGCAATAAACAAGTTTAGTGATTCGCTGCTAACAGTTTGGCTGAATTTAGCAAAAAAAAAAATGCTAAATATCTGCCGATCCGCTCCAGCCGATCCGATCCGTGTAAAATGGAGTGTTTCACGTTGTGTATGCTTGTGTGTTGGCGCCAGGTATCTGATCCCATCGTTGGACCGCTCCCATGCCGGCTTCTACCGCTGCATCGTGCGGAATCGCGTGGGAGCGCTGCTGCAGCGTCGCACTGAAGTGCAGGTGGCTTGTAAGTATCACAGCGCGAGAGTTTGTCTCTGTGCCTGCGTGTGTATGCTCACACACACACACACACACACACACACACACACACACACACACGCTTGGTTTGATTGGCAGTGCATTAAGGAGCGACTAGGTGGGCAGATGTTGTCGCTGAAGGATGCTACCTGCTGGACAGCTGCTCCACTCATTATTATTATGACGATTATGATGATTACGAGACTGATATTGTTTTGTTTTTTTTGTTTTTGTTGTTGTTTGTGTCATTGCATAAGACCCGCCCCCGCAACATCTGTCGTCTCCCCCTGGCGAAAATGGGCCTGTGAATTCAGCTCCCTCGGCTCGTTAGTGAGATGTAACAGAACGCAATGTGTGTTTGCCGGGTTTTTTTTTTTTTTAGAGTGCACCACCGGAACTTCGTCTTCGTTCTGCTTGTTTACACTCGATCATTGTTCGGCCAATTCGAAAATTTCAACAATGGGTTTCAAAGCCAGTTAGCAATTTAGGGGTCCTCGCGAATGTGTAAGGTTTCTAATTAAGGTTGGGTTTCAAAGTAGGGTGTCAAATAAAGGTTTAAAAGGAAGGTTTCGAGAGAGGGATTTGGTCTGAAACAAGTGTTGAGAGAATTACGGCAAGTCTGGCGAAACATTTCAAGGTCAAGTTTAAAGTTGTTGCGAATGAAGCTTACCTTTCAAATTAGCAAGTCAGGATCGGGGCTCAAAGTAGATTTTTCCAAACGGAGGTTAAGGTTTCGAGTTAGTGTTTTGATTTGGGTTTTTCAAGACAAGGTTTTACAGCGGTTGAGAAACGGGATCGAAATGAGGATTTCATCCTGGCGGTTTTCGGCCACGCTGTGGAATAACAAGCGCTGCGGCTTTGACAAATGCGCTCATTTGATGTGCGATGAAGACGGATGATGGTCCGACATGAACGCACCTCTATCCGGCATCGCGGAGGAGCGGTAACCATGGCGACGACACAGCGCGCCTTCCATCAAAGCCGAGCGGGTGGTGGAGTTCAATGCTGGATGACCTTTGATTTCTGCACGTGTCTGATTTCTCTCGGCAGTCATGGGCAGCTTCGAGGAAGGTGAGCGCGAGCAGTCCATCTCGCAGGGAGAGGGCGCCGTCATCCCGGCGCCTCGCATCCGCAGCTTCCCGCAGCCGCAGGTCACGTGGTACCGCGACGGACGCAAGATCCCGCCGAGCAGTCGCATGTAAGCTAATCGTCTTCGCCTCTGGTCCTTGACTTCCTCATACCGGAATTAATCGACAACCGTTATGACAAATATGAAAAGAGCTCAGGCAGCAGGACAAGTTTGATTGAAGTTATTGCTGCCAAATGAGGTTTGACAAGTGTGATGTCGGTGTGTTCGGTAATCCTAATATGCGGAACAAAACGGCTTGGAAAGGTCACCAATCTCCAATGTTTGCTTTTTGTTTATTTAACTTTCATCTTTTATGATGAACCCGTCTGATCCTGTGAACGTTTGTGGGCTCTCACATCCCGGGATTTCGCTTCCTTCTTTTTTTTTTTTTTTTTTTTTTTTTTTTGCCCGCATTCGGTTTCCGCCTCAACACAAGCGCAAAAAGCCTCTTTGGCTCCAGGAGAAATGAAATTGCCCGCTTTGTTCCTCATCTTGGGTTTTGAAAGAGAACCTGAGCCAGCTACTTTCATCCCACCTCCTTGTCTGTCTTCATTTTTGCCTCCCAATTTGGAGGATGGTGTTTCTCGGGCGAGGCGGCGTCAGTACTCGCTGGTCAGATCCCAGGGCGCCCTCTGATGGGATTATTTTTCCCTTTCTGCTCCCTTCAAACGGGAAGGGACAACAGGAGCAGAAGTGCCTGATAAAAAAAATCAATTGTACTCGTAGTTTGCAACCCACTGCATCATACTGGCGAGTTACACGTATAGATTTGATATTATCTGCGTTCCTTTTTAGATGTTTTTAATTTAATCAATATTATGAATGTATCATCCGGATGAGCATTTTCATTTTTAATGAGTGTTATGCCATTTTTTTTATTTTTTATTTTTAGTAAATTAATTGTATGAATTAATTTACACCAAATTTATGATTTATGAAAATAGTCATTTATTTTGTTACATTAAAAAAATAATTTTAAAAATATTTTATAAAGTATTAAATATACATTAGTATACGCTGTACATTAAAATCTTCTAATCTGTTGAAGAACGTGAGAGTCGGGGTGTTTTACAGACACACCTGTGCAGATGTGTGTTGGTGTGTGTGTGTGTGTGTGTGGGGGTGTGTGTGCGGGTGTGAGTGCACATCTTTAAAGGCCGCTCACCCTCCACGCAATCTCCTCATCACATCTGCATTTGTCGGGAGTGGGAGATGACCTTGCCCTGGGTTGAAGTGAATCCTCTTTATCGGCTCTTCGTCATCATCTCATCATCCTCCTCATCCTCATCAGCATCATGAGTAATGATTGGCCGGATAGGAATGACAATGAGGCTCAGAACCTTCTTTTTAAAATAATGCATTGCAATTGAGACAATGGCTTTTTTGGATCCACTGGTAGTGTATCGTCAGACGTAATGTGCTATCCGATACACTTGCGTCATTCATTTTTCGTCAGCGATAAATAAAAATTGTGGTATTGATATTTTGTTCCATTCATAAATGATAAATAAAAGCTTGTCAAAAAAATAAAGTAAAACTGTACATGCAAATTTGAATAAAATGCTAATTATAAAATGATTCGTAGTAATATTTATCATGCAATATCTGAATACAATGAATTCTTATTGATCATATTTAACTAATACTGTATACGAAAAGTTTGGGGAGTAATGGTAAATTCTACATACATATAGTATTGTTATCTAAAACTGTGGCATAATTAAAATAAATCTACCATATAATTATTGGGTATAAGAAGAAAAAAAATTTTTTTTTTCCTTTCTCAATGACACTCTCCAACCGGCACCTTCTTTCCCTCCTCAGGTGTCATAACTTTAATTTTCAGACTCCCTGGGGGTCCGCCTGACTGCTCTTCATCACACCTCCATGCTCCACCAAAGAAATATAATTTTATAATTCCAGACATGGAAGAAGCCCAGTCTTAAGGGTACAATTCATCTGAGCATCTGAAAAAATGTCACGGCTTGCCTCCAGGGTGTTGTCATTCCATCTTTTTTTTTTTATTTAAACCCAGCGTCCGTCTTGTTTTTCACACAATCACGCTCAGTCTTGTACGCACATGCGAATGTGCTACCGTACGAAGGATAATTTTTGTGTCACCCTAGTTTCTGCGTAAGCATGCCAACCGACGTACTCCCCCATTAATTTTTGCACTCCAATTTATGATACTCAAATTGCAATCATAAACTCTCATACAACTCACTCCAATTTTGATGTGATACAATTCTCTCCGATTACAATACGCTTCCCGGCAATCATGATGAAATACAATGGAAAACACAGGATGAAAGCGAGGAGAAAAAGCAACTATGTTCCTACAGTGGAGTCTGAAAAAATCACGTAGAACACCATTGAAAATTTTACAACAGATCTCAAATATTTACTCGTGAGGAGGCATGTGAACTCATACCAGGTATCATTTTTGGCACAATGTGCCAGCAAGATCATGCAAGTTGGCAGTCATTTCCCTTCCACTCCGCCTGTGACACTCGAGGTCTTCTGCCGCGCTCATATTTTCCCTCCGTGGAGGTCCAAGTCATATCTCACCGGCTTGATTGACGGTCGCCATGCTTTACAAACGAGGTCAAGGGAGGGCTTCGAGCCGGCCTCGCCGTCTTTGTTTTGATGTATAGTGCAACAACATGAAGGAGGGGGGGGGGGGGGACAATAAGGTATTCGCCAGTCATCCCCATCGCTCTTCTCTGAGCCCAGCGACTTTGGCAGGGTCCTTTGCGTTCACTCTGCCTGATTTGTTGTGTAATTTGGGAGCGACTTAATGTACTGTATAATAAGAAGCTCCTTCGGCGAGCGCATTTGCTCAGAATTGTTGGGCTTTTGCGGGAAAAGCGAGTACATAACTGACCTATCAACAGCCAGGCATGGATTTTTTTTTTTTTTCCCCCCCTCTTAGACCACCCACACACATCTCACAATGATGAACCACCAAGAGCAACTGGGACCTTTGACTAATCTGCTGCAGCATCTATTCAATTAACAGTCCACCTCAGCTCCCGTCACATGGCTATAGATTGGCCATTAGTGAGTAGCCTGGACCCTTCCTCTGAACATAAGTTCATGAGTGGGCAGTCTGTGGGCCCTGCGAGTTACAGCAGACCACCACGGCATTTATTGACGCTTGTTAGCAGGGCTACTCCATTATTGTTGTTTTTTTTAGCGCATATCTCAAGCCACTGCATTCGATGCCAGAGCCGAAAGCGTGGAAGAGACGTCCCCAAAAGCAAAATGGTCAACGTTAGGAAAGACATTGTCCACTGCAAGTTGCCACTCGGAGGACTGGACAACCGGTGAGCATGTTCACAAAGAGATCATTCGGTGTTTGATTGATCATTCGGTGAGAGTTGGGGCAGGGTAACTCAAGCCTGCTTCATCATGACAGCACGCCTGCTCACATGGCCTTTGAGCGTAACGCACTTCCTGGCTGAGAAAAAACATCACCTCCTTGGTCAACTCGTCTGGCTCCGGTTTTTGTCCTCATTCCTAAGCTCAAGAAAATCATCAAGGGGACCCATTGGATGACATTGAAATGACAATACAAGTACAATACATTCACTCCAATGAGAGCACGGTAGCGCGAAATGTTTGTGCAGAGGAAACAACGATTCCGGAGCCTGTTATCCTTCCACTGTGCATATTTTGCAGTATTTTTTGGCATTTCCTTTCCCGTCAGCTGCGAGGGTCGTAACCTCATTCCTCCACCCTCATGCCTCCATTACCAGCCGACAAATGGCAGCGGTCAGCCGCCGACCTCCCTGCGGCAGTGAGCGAAGGGGGTCGTTCAATCTGCGGGTTCAAGTGACTCACGCGTCCGCATGAAGGCACACCGCAGTCTCGAGAAAGAAAGGAAGCAAAAGTGCAAACTACCCGGCAAACGAGCGATGGGGAGAAAAAAAAAATAAAAGCTCAATGACGGTGAAAGGGAAGAGGAGGCGGGGGGGAATGAATGCGGTTTGCGAAAATCCTCACGGCGAGGGCGCCGAACTTTGATTTGTGCCTCAATGTTCTCTTGTTGTACTCGTACCGAAAGCAATCTTGATGAAGAAGAAGAAGAAGAAAACGAGGCCGAGAATGAACTCACACATTCAGAACAGAAGAAAGCCGTGATGTCATGATAAGAACGCTATTCCGATATTTTTTTCGGGGCCATCATTGCGGTCTTTAATAGCAGCCAACTTGGTCAGCCTGCGAATTGTAATTGGAATGGATTAGGATCGTAATTAGAACATATCGTCCGGCATCTTGATTGGGATGAATCATATTAGCATTGACTTGACTTTATTAATTGGGTGGAATCTTATCAAATTGTCAATGGAGTGAATTTGATTTGATTGTATCAATCATAACGTCCTTGTATTGAGACTCGGTGAAGCAGCATGTGGCTGATCGCATCAGGTTATTTACAAGAGAGGCTTTTCTTTATTTTCCCCCCAACTCATTCCGTTTGCGTCATCATTTCTGCCCCGAAGGAGCGGATTCCGCTGGAGAGCCTCCCCTTGCCACTGCTGCTCGCAAAGCAACTTGGCCGGCTCAGCTGCTTTACCCCCCCCCCCACCTCCCCTCCTTTTTTTTTGGGGTGCAAATGCCAGTTGTGCCAGAAGCGAGAAACAAAGCATTAGCGCCGTCACATGTAATCAGCTTCACTAAGTTTTAGTTGGAGTCGGTTCATTTCACTTGCGCTCTCCATCGTTGTCAGATGCACACTCAATCGGGCGATTTCGTTTGGAACTGGAAAAAAGTGGACATCAGAGCATCATCAGGGGCGCAGAATGCAATCTATATTTCCCGTATATGGAGACATTTGACTCACATAGTTAATGTTGTCACAAATACAGTAAATAAAAGCATCCTAGTGTTCACAAATGCCTATTTTTTTGCGCATTTACTTGCAATCGAGCACAGGTGTCGAAGTCAAGGCCCGGGGGCCAGATCTGGCCCGCCACAGCATTTTAAGTGGCCCGCGAAAGCGAATCAAGCATGTCAAGTCCCGTCATGCTTGCTAAAGTCTGAACCAACATTTCAAATCGTCATATGTAATCCATCATAACAGTCATTTATTCTTGACTTCTGATTTTCAAACTGGTTATTCATCAATTAGTTGTGCGCTGCGTATGTAAAATGTGGAGGTGATTGAACATTTAGATGGTTTCCCAAAATTCATAACGGCCCTCCAAGGCAAACCGGAACTACAACGTGGCCCGCGACAGAAGTGAGTTTGACGCCCCGGGAATAGCGTGCAGGAAAATAATTTTGGGTGATCAGCCACAATCTTTTTCACATGGAAGTCAGTACACAGTCTTCAGAAAAAAAAACCCGGCAGCCGCTGCCACACTTAAGCGAAAGCATTTACCCACCTCGTGATCACAAGCTCACACTTGTTCGCAAATTACTTAAGAAGGGTCCTTCCAAAACACGTGGAAGCCAAACTCTACTGGAATCACATCTTGATCGTTTTGCATGAGGTGATCATCTCAGCCCTTTCGATCAGTCTTTTCCGAGTCTTGCCCGTTGGCGACCAGTTCAGGGCGTGCCCACAGACAGGGCTATAAGACGGGCGAATTCATTTTAGCAGTAGCCACAGTATATCAAAGACGTCCCCTCGGTGGAACTATTGAGTGATCTCTTGCGGAACCTGTCCCATCGCGCCGCTCCGCCTGGACGTGCCGTCCTCCTGTCCTTAACTGTCAGGTAAAGAAGTCAAGTGCCAAATTGAGTCTCTCCGTTTTGCAAAAGGTCCTCGGGAGTCACCCGGGACTCGCTCTTGGACACTTTCTTTCGACTCACATCCCCGAAGAGATCAATAATTCATCGACGCGTTCTGTATGTCGCCGTCGCGCCAGCGAGCCGGCATTAAATATTTACCACGGATCATAAGCGGCCATCCAGTCCCACCTTGAGGAAAGTCCCCAGATAGGCGGTCAGTGGTTCTTAACTGGTGGGCTGGTACCCAAAAGTTGGTGGCGGACCCGCTTTTGATGGCTTGTGGACAGTTAGTCATAAAATGTTCTCACATGGAAAATATTACAGTGGTCAAGGACAAGAGTTGAGCTACATGATGGTCGAGCTATCGCCGTAAACAAATACTTTACATCCGAGCCTCTGGCTAGCAGACAACAAGACTAATTATGTTTTATGTTGGAGTTTTTTTTTTTTCTTTTAATGTGAAGCACTTGTTTCAGATATTTTTTTTTTAAGTGCGCTATAAATAAAGTTCATTTGGATAAAGGCATAAAAAAAGTAGTGCATTTGAACAGCCTCTAACAAACGCCCTTGGGATTTTTATGGCGGAGTTATTTTGACAGTTCAAACTGTTGCATCGAAAGGGAAGACAATGTATTGACCTTCAAAACAAAAGAGCCCGGTGTCATAAGTGAAGTTTTGCGTCTGTCGTATGTGCAATTGCCATCATTTCGTCTACTGTCATGTGAACTCTCTGTGTTCTTTTTCTTTACTTGGCATTTAAATGTCTTCCATTATTATGTTTTTACATGCTTTTAAATATCGGACTTTTTTTAAAAATGATGTGAAGCACATTGAGTTACCTTGTGTACGAAATGTGCTCCATAAATAAAGCTGGCTTTCATTGCCCATTTGTAGCGCTCATTCATAATTTACCTTTTCATGGGTTCTTTTTTTTTTTTTTTTTTTTTTTCCTGTAGGACCTCTTGAGCGATTCACTGAAACCTCCCTGGCATCAATGCAGTTTGCTGAAGCGATACATATTGAATGTTCTAAGATCATTGCAGATGTCAAGGAGGAGTTTAAGTTCGCCTGGGTTGTTTGTCAAACTTATGGAGGATCTTTGCGATGTGTGTAGATTTGATTTCTGTCAGCTAACACAAAACACGGTCTTATAAATGGTTGACAAGTTTCTCGTTTTACGGCATTTAAAGGCTCGGAAGCACCGCTCTGGTCCACATATCGGACTGCCTTAGCTGTAAATGCTCGTAGCAACAAGCAGCTTGTTCGCTTAGCGCACAGTAATACCCCAATGCACCCTCCCCCAAACACATCTCACCCCCACCCCCTTCTCCGTCGACGTCCTGATGATGAGACGGTGGTCAGGGTGGAGGAACGAGTGGAAATATGAAGATACAAAGGGGGGTCGGTGAGGGCTGCTTTTTACAGCGGCATGCGACAAGCAGCGATAATTGCGGCACTTGCGAAGAACAAGCCGTCATGTTTTGTTCCTGGTGATGATGAGTTTTAGCCGCCCAAATAGCTCCCCTGCGTTAAAATAAACAGACTTCATACGGCCCAGTGCTCGGTGGCAGCCATTCGAATGCTGTCCGGCCATCTGCAAATGCTGATTGAGGATCGTGGGTGGAGGAATTAATTGTTCGTCGAGTGAAATTTTTGACTGAACTTCAGGGCATTTATTTAAGAGTGTCAGCGGACCAGAAGATGAAAAAAAAAAAACCTTAAGAACCCGACTGATTTTGAGTGCCGTCTGATCAACAGATGGGAGAAGCACGAGGTTAGCGGATGAAACGCGGTAGTCGCCACGTGCATTGTCAGTATTTCGTTTTTTTTGTTTTTTTTCGCTCTCGTCGTTTTGCAATTTTCCACTGGGCTTCTTCAGTTTCAGGGATTGTTTTCGAATGTTAAATTAAGAACCCTTTTGATCTTATGTTATCTGACCAGAAGGTGAGTGAAAAAAATGGATGCCGTATTCGCGTCGGAACTCGACCAATCCTCATATTGCCATTGACTGAATTCCTTTTCAGTCGTCGTTTCATTTGCAAAGAATTTCATATTCGGAACCAGATTGATTTATTTATCAATCCGTGTTGATCTCATCACGCGTCCTTTTCCCCCCCCTCTTGTTCTTCTGCCAAAAAGTGGCCATTTACAGGAAGTCCAGAAGAGCCACCGATGGCCAATTCACTTGTGTGCCGCACGATCATGTTGCATATCGCTTCTGCGAGGAGGAGGATAATGTCAATATTTACGCCTTGTTCTGTTCGCAGCGACACATTATTTACACGCTCTTGATCAATATGGCTAATGCGGCTTGAAGAGTGTAATTATGGCACCTTTAACGCACTCTCTATCCATTGGCCGAAAACATAAAAAAAAAATGTGATTTAGCTCGAATCGCGCGGATCATTGTTGCTTCTTTTTTGGGGGGCAAAAAAATTGGTTTGGTAGACACCATTCAAAGACAAATTTGTCCTTGAGATTTTGTCTGGCTGTTATGATGGGTGAGTCATTTGCTGCATGTGCGTGTGGGGGCGGTACATGACGGCAAATTGGATGACTTGCCATTTTGGGGTCATTTAGACCATTTTCAAGGGGTTCTTCAAAGACGACCTTATCTTTGAGATTATTATCTAATTGCGACCACGTTTTAGCCACTTACACGAGACTGCTGGGTTAACGCCAAATTGCTGTGAATTTTCAATTATCGTCATTATGTGTGACCATTGCATGACACACCAAGTTTGATAACGAACACAAAATTTCAGATTGACCCACCTTGTGAATGTAGATTTTTTTCCCCCTGATGGCTGAAATGTTAGTGATCTATTTTTTTAATGTGTGTTCTAATTTTTTTTTTGTTTTTTTTAGTGCCATCACACTTGACAACACGCTGGTCATCTTGTCCACCGTGGCGCCGGATGCCGGCCGCTACTACGTCCAGGCGGTCAACGATAAGAATGGCGAGAACAAAACCAGCCAGCCCATCACGCTCTCGGTGGAGAGTAAGTGGCCACACGCGTGGAATCGCATGCACGCACGCACGCAGGCAGGCAGGCAGGCAGCCCATTATGCCCTAAAAGCGCGACAGCTCGGGTTTCGCTTCTTTACCCGCGAGGCAGTCGGACGAAGGCCAGTTTGAAACGGCTGCCAAGTCTCAAACTCTCCCGACAGGAATGCCGGCTCCCGGAGCTCAGCTGACAATTTGCCACTTACCAGAAGAAAGCTCGTGCCAGGAGGTTGCAGGCGGCATTATTGGGCACAATTCCCCATTTTTTTTCCCCCAACTCTCTCTTTTAATTCCCTCCACATGACGGGACTCCCTAGTTTGTGCTACATGAAGCATTCTAGTCCGTCGCTTGAGCAGACTTGAGACTGAAATGATTTCTCCGTCCGTTGCTGAATTACAACGTAGCTTTTTCCAATTTTTATTTGATTTTAGTTTGATTGATTGATTGATTGAATCTATTCATTTAGTATCCCAATTCCGAAAATGATCGCTTATGCTAAGATCAAATTCGTACAAGAGTTGCGCACAAAGGCGTGCGTTGTTTGCCTGCAGATGTCGGAGGCCCGGCGGACCCCATCGCACCCACCATCATCATCCCGCCAAGGAACACCAGCGTCGTCACGGGAACGTCGGAAGTCACCATGGAGTGTGTGGCAAACGCCAGGTGAAAACACACAAAAAAAAACGAACTCCAGAATGTAGACTTGCAAAAAGACAACATCTGCTCGTCACTCTGCAGGCCTCTCATCAAGCTGAGCATCACCTGGCGGAAGAACGGCGTCGTGGTCCGAAGCGGGCTGAGCGACTTCAACCGTCGGCTGACCATCCTGAGCCCCCTGGTGGCCGACGCCGGCTACTACGAGTGCGAGGCCGTGCTTCGCAGTAGCAGCGTGCCATCCGTCAGCGCCGGCGCGTACCTGCGCGTGCTCGGTGAGCCACACCTTTTTAAAACCATTTTTGTCGAGAACCAGACTGTCTTTAAAATGACTTCGAAGAAGATTTTGAAGAATATTTTGGGATCAAGGTCAAATCCGTGGCTTCATTAAATCTCGACGCCGTCGGATTGAAGGTGTTTTGAAATCCAAACTATCAAAGGCAACAGCAGCATCCTTGCGTATTTTCAAGGGTCCCTTTGAATTGGTATTCAAGTGGTTGACATCAAAACGATCGAGGTAACTGTCGTTTACGACCAAACTTTTTCCAACGGTTGGGGAGGATTGTCAAAACTCAAACCCAATCCCGTATCGCAACCCTGTAGTCCAAAAGCTTCACTATTCCACCCCAAATTGATTTCTTTATTTGTTTTGATTTTTTGCCGCCCATTGCCCTTTTTTCAGCCAACCGTCCTCAGCGTCACGGCTCTGTAGCCAGTCCAGAACACGAACAAAAGGTGTCGCCTGTGAAGCCGCCATTAAGTCGGCCGCCCCTGGCGAAAGCCAAATGCATGCCCGAGTCACTTTCAAATGCTTTGATGGCGTCAAGGTTGCGATGGCATTCAAAGAGCAAGGTGCGCTTAACTTTTTTCCCTTTGAATGCCGTCTACTGACGCCAGCCTCCCCTGCTGCCCGTTTGAAGGTTATGGCCTAAAACTGAGGCGGAATACCAAATGTCTCTCCATCTGACTTTTAACGTCGTCTTATTTTTTTCTGTTTGTTTTTGCTAACCCCACTGGGCCGAGTCCTTTTTTTTTTTTTTTTTTTCTTGCCCCTCCAATTAAATCTGTCAGTTCTCGTTTGAAACTTTGTGGATTGCTGCTGTGGGATTTCGGATTACATCACCGTGGCGTTTCTTCCATTCTCCTGTCTTCTTCCCAGAGCCGCCGCAGTTCATCAAGGAGCCCGAGAAGCACATCACGGCTGAGATGGAGAAGGTGGTGGACATCCCCTGTCAAGCGCGAGGTGAATACCTATTTTCTCTGTTTGCGCGGCGTGAATAGGATTGCAACATTGTGGTCATTTTTCAATGTTGGGAATGTTCCAGGTGTATTCATTCAATGATTAAAAATGAAATGAAAACTAAACAGGAAGATACCAAAAAATGAAGGTTGGTTCTGAATAGGAAATTTAAATATACAGTAGTTGGGTTAAAAAAATAAAAAAATTTACTTGATGACATTTACAGAAATTTTCCGCCCCGCCCACAGGTGTGCCCCCACCAGACATCGTGTGGTACAAGGACGCCACGCCCATCGACCCGGTCAAAACGCCGCGGTACCGGGTGTTGACCGGCGGCAGCCTGCAGGTCAACGGCCTCCTGCCCGACGACACCGGCATGTTCCAGTGCTTTGCCAGGAACGCGGCGGGCGAGGTTCAGACCAACACGTATCTCGCCGTCACCAGTGAGTGCTTCCAAAGAATGACATCCAAGACAGAATTGTGCGTTTCGGGTCGATCAATCTTCAGCAGCGGTGCGCTTTGAAATTATTTGACTTGAATTATTAAGCACACTAAAGTCAATCAAGCAAGCAATGGTTGATTTTCCAATTATTTTTGAAAAACGGCTGCACAACAGCTTTCTGTTCAAGGTGATAACACAAATAGTTGAGGATTTTCATGATTTGGGGATGTTTTTTTTAATGATCTTTTTTCACCACACTGTTTTGAAATGAAATTGCGTTATTATTGTGTTAAATAATTTGGTTAAAATTGATGAAATTCGGCGGCACATGGTGGACTGCTGAGCACATCTGCCTCGCTGTGCAGAGGTCAGGGCTTCAAATCCAACCAATCCATCCAATTTGCATGTTCTCTGTGTGGGTTTTTTGCGGGTACTCCGGTTTCCTCCCACATTCCAAAAACATGCACGGTAGGTTGATTGGACGCTTTGAATTGTCCTTAGATGTGATTGTGAGCACAAATGGTTGTCTCTATTTGCCCCGCGATTGGCTGGCAACTAGTTCAGGGTGTCCCCCACCTACTGCCCAGAGACAGCTGGGATAGCCCTCAGGACGCAAAATGATGGCGTTTACTGCGGCATCCACAAGTGCATCAGAAAAAAAATGCGTGCGCCTGTCTCTTGTCACTACTGTATTTTTTTCTCATTTTGATTAAATTTACTTTTGCTGAAGTTGATCAAAATAAAATGAAAACGGTGGTGCCCTGACTGTCATCATCTCAAAGCATTTCCGGCGTCCAATCACATTGCCTGGATGCCATTCCAAGATGCTTCCACCCACTAAGGGGCTCATTTATTTCTTTTTTGGGGATGGAGTTGTTCGCTGATTTTCTTTTCCGCTTCTCACTTCAATTCATCTATTTAGTTGGCTCGCTGATAGCGTTCTCTGCATTCCCACAGAAGACATGACTTCTAGAAATGCAAGCATTTATTTTTTTTTAGATTGTTTGGCACGGCATGAAGGTGAAGGACGTGTCGTAGGAATCACGGACGACACTTGAGGGCAGACTCAAAAATTCAAGAGGCTTGGCTTACAGTACACTCAGTGGGATTACTCCCTTGCCTCTTACTTACCTTCTCTTGTTGCAATATTTTACTTATTCCTCGTCTGTGTGTGTGTCTGTGTGTGTGTGTGTGTGTTTGTCTGTGCGTGTGTGCGTCCATCGCAGGTATCGCTCCCAACATCACAGCCGGACCCTCCGACAGCACCGTGATTGACGGGATGTCCGTCATCCTGCACTGTGAGACTTCCGGTGCTCCGAGACCAGCTATCACCTGGCAAAAAGGTTTGCATTGCACACACACACACACACACACACACACACACACAGAGTCACGTGCGCAGCGAGGGATTATAACGTATGTTATCTATTACACACGGGGGGATAGTTTGTGGCGGCTTACCGGCTAAAGCCGGCTTGGATCCCAAAGGTTTATCCTGCACCGGGCTTTTCTTCTTTTGCATCACAATGGGGAAAAAAAACATTGTCCCGGTTTCTCCTCGTGATCCACTTCGAGCTCCTATTCCGCTCAAGCGTTACATTTAGCCATGGCGGCCCGTTCAGGCAGCCAACTCATCGGGCGTACTGAATATCATCCTCTGATTTTATTTTTTTTACACAACATAACATTGCTTATATGTGTAGCGAGATCAACTTGGACACAATGGACAAACTTGACAAACTCTTGACGTCCTCGTTGCCTCATATCCATCAGGCGAGCGTGTCCTGGCGAGCGGTTCGGTGCAGCTGCCCCGTTTCACCCTGCTGGAGTCGGGCAGCCTGCTCATCTCGCCCTCGCACATCTCCGACGCCGGCACGTATACCTGCATGGCCAGCAACTCGCGCGGCTGCCCGACGACACCGGCATGTTCCAGTGCTTTGCCAGGAACGCGGCGGGCGAGGTTCAGACCAACACGTATCTCGCCGTCACCAGTGAGTGCTTCCAAAGAATGACATCCAAGACAGAATTGTGCGTTTCGGGTCGATCAATCTTCAGCAGCGGTGCGCTTTGAAATTATTTGACTTGAATTATTAAGCACACTAAAGTCAATCAAGCAAGCAATGGTTGATTTTCCAATTATTTTTGAAAAACGGCTGCACAACAGCTTTCTGTTCAAGGTGATAACACAAATAGTTGAGGATTTTCATGATTTGGGGATGTTTTTTTTAATGATCTTTTTTCACCACACTGTTTTGAAATGAAATTGCGTTATTATTGTGTTAAATAATTTGGTTAAAATTGATGAAATTCGGCGGCACATGGTGGACTGCTGAGCACATCTGCCTCGCTGTGCAGAGGTCAGGGCTTCAAATCCAACCAATCCATCCAATTTGCATGTTCTCTGTGTGGGTTTTTTGCGGGTACTCCGGTTTCCTCCCACATTCCAAAAACATGCACGGTAGGTTGATTGGACGCTTTGAATTGTCCTTAGATGTGATTGTGAGCACAAATGGTTGTCTCTATTTGCCCCGCGATTGGCTGGCAACTAGTTCAGGGTGTCCCCCACCTACTGCCCAGAGACAGCTGGGATAGCCCTCAGGACGCAAAATGATGGCGTTTACTGCGGCATCCACAAGTGCATCAGAAAAAAAATGCGTGCGCCTGTCTCTTGTCACTACTGTATTTTTTTCTCATTTTGATTAAATTTACTTTTGCTGAAGTTGATCAAAATAAAATGAAAACGGTGGTGCCCTGACTGTCATCATCTCAAAGCATTTCCGGCGTCCAATCACATTGCCTGGATGCCATTCCAAGATGCTTCCACCCACTAAGGGGCTCATTTATTTCTTTTTTGGGGATGGAGTTGTTCGCTGATTTTCTTTTCCGCTTCTCACTTCAATTCATCTATTTAGTTGGCTCGCTGATAGCGTTCTCTGCATTCCCACAGAAGACATGACTTCTAGAAATGCAAGCATTTATTTTTTTTTAGATTGTTTGGCACGGCATGAAGGTGAAGGACGTGTCGTAGGAATCACGGACGACACTTGAGGGCAGACTCAAAAATTCAAGAGGCTTGGCTTACAGTACACTCAGTGGGATTACTCCCTTGCCTCTTACTTACCTTCTCTTGTTGCAATATTTTACTTATTCCTCGTCTGTGTGTGTGTCTGTGTGTGTGTGTGTGTGTTTGTCTGTGCGTGTGTGCGTCCATCGCAGGTATCGCTCCCAACATCACAGCCGGACCCTCCGACAGCACCGTGATTGACGGGATGTCCGTCATCCTGCACTGTGAGACTTCCGGTGCTCCGAGACCAGCTATCACCTGGCAAAAAGGTTTGCATTGCACACACACACACACACACACACACACACACACACACAGAGTCACGTGCGCAGCGAGGGATTATAACGTATGTTATCTATTACACACGGGGGGATAGTTTGTGGCGGCTTACCGGCTAAAGCCGGCTTGGATCCCAAAGGTTTATCCTGCACCGGGCTTTTCTTCTTTTGCATCACAATGGGGAAAAAAAACATTGTCCCGGTTTCTCCTCGTGATCCACTTCGAGCTCCTATTCCGCTCAAGCGTTACATTTAGCCATGGCGGCCCGTTCAGGCAGCCAACTCATCGGGCGTACTGAATATCATCCTCTGATTTTATTTTTTTTACACAACATAACATTGCTTATATGTGTAGCGAGATCAACTTGGACACAATGGACAAACTTGACAAACTCTTGACGTCCTCGTTGCCTCATATCCATCAGGCGAGCGTGTCCTGGCGAGCGGTTCGGTGCAGCTGCCCCGTTTCACCCTGCTGGAGTCGGGCAGCCTGCTCATCTCGCCCTCGCACATCTCCGACGCCGGCACGTATACCTGCATGGCCAGCAACTCGCGCGGCATCGACGAGGCGTCGGCTGACCTCATTGTCTGGGGTAAGTAGAAGAGCGTTATCGCTTCTCGTAGTTCCGGAACATTCTGTCATCTCTCCCCTCCTCCGCCTCCTCAGCTCGAACCCGGATCACGACGCCCCCGCAGGACCAGAGCATCATCAAAGGCACCAAGGCCGCGCTGACCTGCGGTGTCACGCACGATCCCAGCGTGAATGTCAGGTAGGCCAACGCATTCAAGCGGCTTGATTCACTGGGCGACCTTCTGGGGCGGATGGTATAAAGCCCTCCGGAATAAAGTAACTCCACAGTTCAGGGCTGAATAAAAGTGAACAAACTTTAAGACCCGTGGTGTTTGCTGCTGCTGCTTCTTTGCAATGCGCGATGCAAACTAATTATCATTCCGAGCATGTTCTCCCGTAATGGCAGTCATAAAATGCAAGAATAAAGCCAATAAAATAGGATATGTGTTTTTGAAATATTTTCCAAACAGAAATTGCAGTGTACTTTTGACTGTGTAAAGTGTTGGAATTATTTCTTCTATATTTACAAAAATTGCGACATTTTCAAATATCAACATTTTGGCCTGATCAGTAACTGAATCCTAATCGATTTATGTTTGTGTGTTGTCTGCACTGTCATTGCGAAATAATACACACACACACACACACACACACACACACATGTGTGCACAAATGAGTGCGAGCATGCATGGTGTAATTAAATACAATTTTATGAAATACAGTAATGCCTCATTTATCGCGGTTAATGGGGACCAAAACCACCCGCGATAAACGAAAATCCGCGAAGTAGCGACCAATAAACATATACAGGTTCAAAATGGGGTTTTTTTTAAAGTCCGCAAACGGTCCACAAGAAGCTGCAAAACAACAACGAGTCACATAGAGCAACATATACAGTACTGTACTCCATGTATATGATTATTTATTTATTTTATTTTTTTTTTTTTTTAATGAATATGTTGGAAAAAATCCGCGATGCACTGAAGCCGCGATAAACGAACCGCGAAATAGCGAGGGATCACTGTAGTCCTCTCGTGACCTCTTGGGTGCCCCGCCACAGGCACGTGTGGGAGAAAGAGGGCGTGGTCATCAACGTGCACGCCATCCCGCGCGTGCAGCAGGACGCCGATGGCACCCTACACATCTCGCAGACGTGGTCCGGCGACATTGGCACCTACACCTGCCGGGTCACCTCGGTCGGTGGCAACGATTCACGCAGCGCCCACCTCCGCGTTAGGTGAATGTATACACACGCACACACACACACACACAAATTTACAGATTAAGGTGCCATGTGTTGTGTTTTTGCCGTTTAGTTCCCCTTAAAGTCAGTAATTGTTGTCTGTGTCGTTCACCGCAGGCAGCTGCCTCATGCGCCCGAGAACCCCGCGGCTGTGCTGAGCAGGTCTGAGCGGCGCGCCATTGACCTGACCTGGGCCAAGGCCTTCGACGGCAACAGCCCGCTGATGCGCTACATCCTGGAGGTGTCGGAGAACAGTAGGTTACCCTTGCCCTATTTTGTAGTGTGCGCTAAAGGAAGCGTAACAGGGCAGGCTGAAGCTAAGCCGCTTTAATTTCAAACAAGTTGCAGTCAATGCAAACACCACAACACAGCCGTGTGCGGTTTCGTATGAGCACTGAGTTAAACTTTTGTTTTTGGAATTTATATATTTTTTTGAACTCCCCGTATGTAGTACTGTGCTCGTTTCGATTTCAAGCCGTCACACTCATGTGTCGTCACTCCTACAGGCCTGTTAGCGCGCCATGTGCCCCGCCAGGAAGTTGAAAAAGAATTTAAGATCAGTACCGGTCATTAAGGGTGTCTATCACTTTTCGTATTTGGTGGGGGGAACAAAGTGCCTTGACACAAAAGCGGCGTTGTTGCGTGAGAGCTGTTGAATATTCTCGCTGATGTGCACACAGCAGGCCCACCGGTTAACTTGCTTAGGATGTTAACTTGCGAAGAGGCGTTCGACTTTGCATCAGAAAAATAACTTTATTCTCAAAAGAATGCAACTGTATTCTGAAAAATATGAAAAGATTTGACTCTATTTTGATACAATTTTTTTTTTACTTGAAAAATACAACATTATTCTGAAAGTATGACAATCTTTGTCATTTGTATGTGTGTTAGGAGAAAAAAAATGCAACCCAGTGTTGCTGATCATGATGTGGTAATTTGCAGACGCTCCCTGGGCCATCCTGCTGGCCAGCATCGAACCCGAGTCGTCTGCGGTAACTGTCAGTGGCCTGATCCCGGCGCGCTCCTACCAGTTCCGCCTGTGCGCCGTCAACGACGTGGGCAAGGGCCAGTTCAGCAAGGAGACGGAGCGGTGAGCTGCTAGCTCGCGGTGCAACACGCTATCGGCATTTCTGGTCATGAAGGTTGACAGACGGCAGGCGGTCTTTTGAGTTGAAAAACTTGTCGGTAAATCGGGAAGCCTGTTTCCATGGCAACGGCTTTGAGTGATCCTTTCAGTCAAGAGTCGGCAAGGAGGGATGGGAGCCCGTATAGCCCGACAGAGCGCACGCATGCACGCAAGCACGCACACACAAACAAACAAACAACACGTTGTCACTTGTAAACACACTGCTGTGAGCCTGCCATGTCGCCTCGGAGAAAAACGATTTAGTCTGATGTAGTTGTCATCCCATGCGATACATTGGGAACCTGCAATGTATACACTGTGTAGACTTATTTATAGAACTGGCTGTTGAAGTCCCGAAAGAATTTGGGGTGGGATTTTTAAAAACTTGGAGTGATTTTTTTGTGCCAGGGGAGCAATTGGAAGGCCACAAATGTCGACACCAAATTTGAGGACTCATACCTGGGGCTATTTTATTCCAGGGCCTTCTCAATGACTCATCCATCACTTTCTGAAGAAGCCTGAAATGAACTTGTGTTTGCATTTGCTGTGTGTTGTAGCGTGTCGTTGCCAGAGGAGCCTCCCAGCGCTCCTCCTCAGAACGTCATCGCAAGCGGTCGCACCAACCAGTCCATCATGATCCAGTGGCAGCCGCCGCCCGAGAGCCACCAGAACGGCATCCTGCGGGGCTACACAGTACGGTAAGACCGAGCCGGAAATTGACTCATAAAGCACCGCTTTCATTTGTTTGGCAATTGACTGTTTTGTTGTTGTTGGTGTTGTATAATATCGGATTGGATAAATGCTATATGTATATATATATTTTTTTAATAGAAAAGATACAATTGTCCTCCTCTCAAATGGTAGCCATCCACTCGACACAGGAAAAATGCTTCTCTTTTTTTGGAGGGTTAAAAAAAAATCCAATGCATTTATATTAAAACTGTCTTCACCAGTTTCCAATTTATATATTTTTACTCAACTATTTGACGATCATTTTCGAATTACTACATTTTTCTTAAAAATATGAATATATTTTTTAATGACTTTATGATTGGAAAAATACAACTTTCATCGCAATAAAATGTGACCTCATTTTAAAATTGTACACATTTATTTCGAAAAATACAGTGTAATTCGTAAAATATTTTATTTTTTCCCCCCAAAACTTATGACACGACTTTTGTCACTCGAAAATGTTTCTTCATTAATATAATAGAGAGATAGATAGATGTTCTCCTTTAATACAACAGTAGTTGTTGTTGTATCATTGGGCACCACAGCAAGTCGTTTACATGATTTTTTTTTTTGGGGGGGGGCAGTTTTTATGCAGGATGCCCTTCCTGAAAGAACTCACCCTTGTTTTCTTTATTCCATCTTGGTTCATCCTCCTTTGTAGTCAGAACCGCTAACATACAAGTATGTGATTTATTTTGTTGGGCCTCTGTTTCCCCCTAGCGGAGACTCGGTTGCACTGCACAGTTTCACTTATTCATGCCGCTGTTTGTCTGCGTGTGTGTGTTTTGCGTCAGATACCGTCTGACGGGGCTGCCGGTGGACTACCAGATCAAGAACATCTCCAGCCCGGACGTGACCACGCTACTGCTGGAGGACCTCATCATCTGGACCAACTACGAAATTGAGGTGGCTGCCTACAACGTGGCGGGCCTGGGCGCCTTCAGCCACAAGGTCACAGAGTGGACACTGCAGGGAGGTAATTTATTCATGTTAAATTTATAATTGTCTTTCTGTCTATCATCCATCCATCGATCTGAAGTTGATATGTTTTTTTTTTTATGTTCCTGTGTCCCTCCTCCCACCCCAGTGCCGACGATCGCCCCGGGCAACGTGCAAGCCGAGGCCGTCAACTCCACGGCGATCCGCTTTACGTGGACCGCGCCCAACCCGCAGTTCATCAACGGCATCAACCAGGGCTACAAGGTGGGCGGGCGTACGGGCGCCACCAATTATAGCTGCTCGCAGCGTCGTTCAAGCATCGCGTGTTAACACCGTCAAAAGGACATGTTTCTCATTCTTGTGGCCAAACTGAGATAAGGCTGGGAGAGAAGCATGCTTAATTTGCGGGATGGAAATTATGTTCTTGGCCAGGACTCCTGGCATGGCTTGAAGAAGCAAGCACTCGTCCTTAAAAATGTATACAAATGCTGAGAGTTGGTCTTAAATCCCGCCCAGCTGCTGGCATGGGAGCCCGGCAAGGAGCGCGAGGCGACGGCGGTGACGGTGCGGCCCAACTTCCAGGACGCCGTGCATGTGGGCTACGTGACGGGCCTGAAGAAGTTCAGCAACTACTACACATCGGCACTGTGCTTCACCACGCCGGGCGACGGACCCCGCAGCCCTCCCAAACTTGTCATGACGCACGAGGACAGTAAGTGGGCGGCGAGGAGAAATGAAAGGGGATGATGCCCTTCTTATGCTTATTTTAATTTTTATTTTTTGCATTTAGCACCGGGTGCCGTTGGCCACCTGAGCTTCACCGAGATTCTCGACACATCGCTCAAAGTCAGCTGGAGCGAACCTAGCGAGAAGAACGGCATTCTCACAGGTTTGCGCACACATACACAGACATCATCCTCTCCTCTTATGTATTTCGTAAATCATTAATCGTCATGATCTCCCTGATGTTATTTATTTCAATTTTTTTTGTGTGTCGTCTTATTTCATGTACTCTACATAATTATTTTAAACACATTTTTTTCCCCGACTGATGCCATATTTGTTGACTGACATCCTACCGTGTCTGTTGCTGTCATCAGGCTACCGCATCTCGTGGGAGGAGTTCAACCGCACCAACACGCGGGTCACCCACTACCTGCCGAGCGTCACCCTGGAGTACCGCGTCACTGGACTCACCGCGCTCACCACGTACACCATTGAGGTGGCCGCCATGACATCCAAGGGACAAGGCTTGCTGTCATCCTCCACCATCTCGTCGGGCGTCCCGCCAGGTCAGTTCGGGGATGTGGTCTGACCTCCATCTGTCTTTCATTTTTACAAAAGATTTTTGAAGAGCCAACAAAAGATGACAATGCCTTCGGCTTTCGTCACTTTGAATTTTATCATATCATCTTTGTAAAAATGTTGTGCATGTAGCTAATCTAACATGTATTTTTTTCCCACTTAAATTTAATCCTCCCCATCTTTCGATACGAAATATTGTCCATCGTCTATTTCTAATCTCCCGTGTGACATTTTGTCAACCTCCCGCTTCCTTCCAGAGCTTCCTGGCCCGCCCACCAACATCGCCATCTCCAACATTGGCCCGCGCTCCGTCAGCCTGCTCTTCAAGCCGGGTTACGACGGCAAGACTTCCATCTCCCGCTGGCAGGTGGAAGCCCAGGTGAGCTCGGAGCACCTGATCGCATATCGTCTGATTGTACTTGTGATGTTAACCCATTTAATCCCACCGGTCACATTTGTGAAAGACAACCATGATTTAATTTACAGGGCTATTAAAAATGTTATTACTGATTACTTAAAAAGGGCTACCAATGACACCTGATTTTGACTTTTAAATGTCTGGGAAAAATTTAAATTTAAATGGGTTAATACTGATCCCTGATCGGTGGTCTTAGGTGGGTGCTGTGGGAGACAATGAAGACTGGGTGATGGTCCACCAAGTGTCCAATCTACCCGACGCTCGCTCCCTGGAGGTTCCTGGCCTCAATCCGTACACCTTCTACAGGTAGGAAAACATCACGCGGGCAAAGTGGAGTTCACGTTTGAAGCTAATTTTAATGTTTCTAGTTTGGGTTTCAAGCTTAGGGGGTTGAAGCTAAGGTTTTGAGTTAGGGCTTCAAAGAATGGCGAGCGTTTCATATCAGGGTTTCTAGCCACGGTGCGGATTTGAAATAATGGTGTCTAACCAGGTGTAGGGTTTCGAGCACCGAGATGCTGGTGAAAAAGACATCAATGTGGTGGTTGATTGGAATTCAATCTCCAGGTTCCGTATGCGTCAGGTGAACATTGTGGGCAGCAGCCCCCCAAGTCAACCTTCCAGGAAGATCCAAACGCTTCCTGCCCCTCCGGATGTTGCCCCGGCCAACGTCACGCTGCGCACCGCCAGTGAGACCAGCCTGTGGTTAAGATGGATGGTAAGCAGAGCCGGAATGGGTGCGACCTTTGACATTTATAAAGGCCTCATTGAGCGACTTCCGGATGCTGCTTTTATCCAAATGAAGCCGCGCAATTCACTTCAAATAGGTTCTCAACTCTTAAGATGCGCAGAAGCAAAGCATTGTTTTTGAGTAAATGATAACTGGTCAACTCATCTCGACGTTGTTGACGCCAAGATGGCAGCAAAGCACTACTTTTGTCAAAAGAAAGCTCCTCAATTTACTGGTTTTTGGCAACAAAATGACACCAAAGTAACACTTTGAATGCTGTGAGTTACTCAGCAAATAATCTCATCACTTCGCTGTGAGGAAGTGGAAAACTTTATGATATTATCAATCTCAATCTGTGTATGTAATTGGTCAACACGTTTTTACATTTTTTTTCATCAGCGTTGCAAATCCTGTCAACTTTTTGAAGATCTTTTTTTTTTTGCATTGATTCCAAATCTCCGCTCATTTTTCTCGAGCACATCAGGTTTTCGGAATGATAATAACAATAATAATAATAATAATAATAATAGGTTTAAAAAATAATGTACTATGGTAAACAGCAGAGCTGAAAAAATGGCCGGTGGAGATCCTGATTGGCTGTTCACTTTAGAGAGTCACCAGCATAATAGGCTGGTGAGCAAAAAAGTTAATTTCAAACCCTGCCTACATCGTATTAGAAAAGCTCGCTGAGCAACTTTGAAAAATCTGAGTCATTACTTCAGGCCAATTTTAATTAAATTGGAAAGATGTCATTGTTTGGAGGCTGCTTTCGCCGCGGGAATTCACTGTATTATTCGCCACAAAGTCAGCAAAGTCTATTTGCAAAATGATGTTATAATGGCCAAATACAATCAATAGTCATTATTCTGCTTTAATCTCATGAGGTCTGGCTCTGGGTGTAAATCGGCGAGTACATTCGCAACAGTAGATGGATGACGCGGCAGTCGCGCTACGTTACCAGATCCAATATGGTGTCAACGTCTCTGTGCGATTCATGGTCGAAGTATAAACAGGATATATCCAGGCGCGGCTGTCAATCACATTTCGCACCCTCCACGCACTCTCAATTCAGTCTCTCGCTCCCTCTGCAGCCTCTGCCTGAGTGGGAGTATAATGGTAATGCCGAACAGGTGGGCTACAGAGTGGAGTACTCCAAGGCGGGTTCATCGGGTCGCCCGCTCACCCAAGCCATCGCCGACCGCTTGGAGAGGGAGTTTACGATCGAGGACCTGGAGGAATGGACCGAGTACGAGGTGAGGGTGCAGGCCCTCAATGGCATCGGACTTGGACCCTGGAGCCAGCCAATCAGAGGCCGGACACGGGAGTCGGGTGAGGTTATTTTCTATTTGTCAGCTTTGACTAGCCCGTTAGCCATTAAGGCTCACCACTACATGCTGAAGTGCTTTTGATTCTTTTTTTTTATCCAAATTTTAACATCACGATTACTTCAGTTCATTTGATAAAGGCTAAGAAGTAAATGCCAATTTGCTGACATTTTTGCGAATGAAAAAAAAATATACATTTGTTGTTCAGTGCCATCCTGCGGGCCCACCAACGTGTCGGCCTTCGCCACCACCTCCAGCAGCGTCTTGGTGCGCTGGTCCGAAGTACCCGAACCGGACCGAAATGGACTCATTTTAGGCTACAAGGTCTGGGTGACAACTTTTGATGTGTACTGCATGGCACGCCGCTCTATGCAATTTCTTTTCATTCTCTGCCATTTGGCAGGTGGTGTACAAAGAGAAGGACTCAGACAGCGGCGCCCGGTTCTGGATGGTGGAGGGCAACGTCACGCACAGCGTCCAGCTGACGGGTCTGGGCAAATACGTCCTCTACGAGATCCAGGTGCTGGCGTTCACCCGCGTAGGAGACGGACGGCCCAGTTCTCCGGCCATCTTTCAGAGGACCCTGGATGACGGTAGACATTTTGGATGATTCTCTTAGACGTCTAAGTTCACCACGGACGGGGCTTTGCAAGATTAAGTCGGGGTCCGGAAGGATATTGAAAGCGTTGCATGGCTTTAAAAATGTAATCATGACATCATCTCCCTCCTGCAGTGCCAGGACCACCGATGGGCATCCTGTTCCCGGAGGTGCGCACCACTTCGGTTCGTCTGATTTGGCAGTCGCCCTCCCAACCCAACGGGATCATCCTGGGTAAGCAGAGATTTGTCATCTTTCGTCCTCGGCACTGTACTTGAGTCGCCCTCTTCCCGTGTACCAGCGTACCAGATCACGTACCACCTCAACTCCACCAACGGCAACACCGCCACCGTGGACGTGCTCAGCCCCAGCGCCCGCCAGTACGCCGTCACCGGCCTCAAATCTGAATGCGTCTACGTGTTCCGCATCACGGCGCAGACGCGCAAGGGCTGGGGCAAGGCTGCTGAGGCGCTGGTGGTCACCACTGAGAAACGAGGTAACGTGAAGTCAAGTTGAATCACGTTTTTACATGCTTTGTTATAAATCTGTGTCCATTTCAACAAAAATAAACAACTCAAATATAATGTTAGGGATGTTATCTGTTAACATTATTAGGTCGTAACTCTACTGTATCTCCCCCCACACCCTTCCAGCTCGCCCGCAGCCCACCAGCCGCCCCGCCGTGTCTCAGAAGGACGTGCGCGCCCGCCGCGTTCTCCTGTCGTGGGAGCCCGGCAGCGACGGCCTCTCGCCTGTGCGCTACTACACCGTGCAGCTCCGCCAGCTCCCCGACAGCAACTGGACCGTGCATTCGGCTTCCGTCAACCATGACGCCACCGCCTACGTTGTCTCCAGGTAGCCGTTTCATCATCGCATTTTTTTTTTTCTGTTTGCAAAAGGGGAAAAAATTGGTACTCAGCACATATGTGGTCATAATAATAATGATAATCAGACACTTTGCTATGCTTTGTGGTGCCAAGGCTGAAGCCCTTCACGTCCTATCAGTTCCGAGTGAAAGCGACCAACGACATCGGGGACAGCGAATACAGCGAGGAGAGCGATGCCATCACCACTCTGCAGGATGGTAGGCAATGCGCCAAATGTAACCCAAGTGAGTCAAATGCAGCTCATTCCACTCGATCCTTTACTGTCCTTTACCACACCAGCGCCGGACGAAGCACCCGTCATCTTCTCCGTCACACCTCACACCACCACGTCAGTGCTGATTCGCTGGAAGGTAAAAAGAAGACGTGTTACTTTTTTTTTTCCTCTCTCTCTTTTTGAAAAGAATACGAATGAGGTAATGACACTTGTGTACTCCACTCTCAGCCGCCTCCCGAGGAGAGGATCAACGGCATCCTGCTGGGCTTCCGCATCCGTTATCGGGAGCTGCTGTACGACCGTCTCCGAGGTTACTCCCTCCACGCCATCAACAGCATGACTGCGTGGGCTGACCTCACGGGTGAGACCAAAAAAAAAAAATTGGCTGCATTTAAAAGATGAGCCACTAGATGGCGGAAACAATTTCCTTATCATAGTTACTGTAAGCATTTCTGTACTGCACTATGTGCTTTTGTCAACACAGCCACCAAAATGTCAATGTAGGATTCAATTTTACTGAATGATGCATGAATGATTGGTTAGCTCAAAATTCCGAGGTCCTGGGTTCAAATCCGGGCCCCTGCCTGCGATGTGGAGTTTGCATGTTTCTCCCCTGTGCCTGCGTCGGTTTCCCTCCAACATTCTCCCAAAAAGAGTTCTCATAATTATTCACTTATTTCATATTGATGGTACGCATTTCATCCTTGAATAATTTGAAAATGATACCTTTTAAATGTAATATTAACATCTTATTCCGAACATTTCAATGACTTCACCTCCCGTACACAGCACCGTACAGCATCCGCAATCTGAGCGACGCCTCTCTGACGCAGTTCGAGCTGGACAGTAAGTTTCACACCAACCACGACAGTCACACAAAGTATGATTTGACTGGTCTAATTTGCCGCGCAACACTGTCATAGAGCTGAGCAAGCACAAGCGGTACGAGATCCGCATGAGCGTGTACAACGCCGTGGGCGAGGGGCCCACCAGCCCGCCCCAGGAAGTGTTTGTCGGGGAAGCAGGTGAGTACATGCTCTTAATAAGCATTGTATCGGTAGTGGGCAAACTTTGGTGAAGTTTAGATAAAAGGACAGTTATGTGTGTGTATATGTGACCTGTAAGCTATACTATCTGCAACGTATCATTTGCTGCTCTATTAAGCATATAATGCCTCTTGTGAGTTCCTAATAATGGGATGTGGTGGTGTTTAGTTCCGACGGCGCCTCCGCAGAACGTGGCCGTTCAGTCCGCCAGTGCCACCCAACTAGACGTCACATGGGACCCGCCGCCAATCAGCGCTCAAAATGGCGACATCCAAGGTTACAAGGTAAAAACAAAAAGTGGTCCTCAAGAAGAGGAATTTTCAACTGGATGTTACTCATTCATCCATAGGGTACTCGTTTAACCAAATGGAACTACAAATAAATATAACTCATCACATCAAATGTATTTAAAACATCCAACTAAAACTACTATTAAAAACAGCTGTTTTCACCAAATTTATCTCATTCATCTGAATCGAACTGATTCAATAATTGCGCCAAATGTTAACTACTTTGGATTACCAACTGTAACCGATCAGCCACATGTAAACTAATTTTGCTGTAAAAAATTCCTCCACATTTCACTCATACCAGAAAAAAAACAATTCATCCAAATGGATCTAACTGAGGTAATTCCAACATATGTCACTAATTCTTCCAAATGTAACTCCTCCCACCAAAGGTCTACTTTTGGGAGTCCCAGCGCAAGAACGAGACGGAGCGTCTGCGGACCCTGTTCATGCCCGAGGGAAGCGTCAAGCTGAAAAACCTGACCGGCTACACCAGCTACATGATCAGCGTGGCCCCCTTCAACGCCGCCGGGGACGGACCACGAAGCCCCGCCGTCAGGGGGCGCACTCAACAAGCAGGTAGCTAAGCTCATTTGGGCATATATTGGGACGCACGGTGAGCCAAGAGTTACCACAAAGTCATTTTTTGTTTTTCGCTAAACTTGTTTTCAGCAAGCGTATGTACCGTACTGCCCTCTGTGTTTCAGCCCCCAGCGCCCCCAGCTTCATCCACTTCAGTGAGCTCACCACCTCCTCAGTGAACGTGTCGTGGGGCGAGCCCGCCCTGCCTAACGGCATCATCGAGGGCTACCGTCTGGTCTACGAACCCTGCGCGCCCATAGACGGTATAACTCTCCTCCTCCCTCTCCGCACCGTTGCTCGGCTTAGCAAATAATAACACCTTGAAAAGCGGTTGAGTATGAATTTAAATGTATGTTGGATTAAAGGCGGATTTTTTTTTTTCTGCGTGAATTTACCGCGACGACTGACTAACCGCATTGCATTGTCTGTCCTGTGGTAAGAAGTGCTGTAAATGTGATATGTTTGCGCAGAGTCTTCCGCGACCTGTGCCGACTGTCTCCACTCCCCCTCCTCCCCCCCAGGCGTCAGTCGGACCGTCATGATGGACGTGAAGGGCAGCGGCCCGCTCTGGCTCAAGCTCAAGGACTTGGCTGACGGCGCCACATACAACTTCCGCATTCGCGCCCGGACTTTTGTGTACGGGCCCGAGGTGGAGGCCAACATCACCACCGGGCCCGGAGAAGGTAGCTGCTGACGCCATGTTTTTTTTTTTTCTATCCTAACTTGAAATGCTTAAAATAGTTCTATGATTGCTTCGCAGGATCCCCGGGACCTCCCGGAGACCCCTTTATCACTCGCTATGGCTCAGCGCTGACCATCCACTGGACCAGCGGTGACCCGGGCCGCGCTCCGATTACGCGCTACGTCATCGAAGCCAGGCCTTCTGGTGAGTGCGGCGAGATTTTGGTGGAGTCTTTCGAGGGAGGAAAAGCAGTGTCAAGTGTCACCATCTGCCGCCCGTTCGCCCTCCGGAGCCCTTTTAAGAGCTTATTGATCAGTTCGGACAATATTATGACAAGCAAGCTTTGTTATTGAATTGCAGTTTGACTTTATAATGTATCTTGCATACAAAATTGCCCGTTTGGCCCCACCTTAACAAGGACACGGTTTCTATTGGCTTTGCAGACGACGGCCTGTGGGACATCCTGATCAAGGACATCCTCAAAAACATGGCAGCTGCTCATACAAAATAACGTGCCTTCTCTGGATTGCAAATATGCAGTTGTTTCCAGCTACAATTAAAAAAAAAAAAAATGATGGCTGTGCTCACGTTTGGCGTGGCAGCAGCCGCCATGCTGGTTCGAAGACCTTGACTGCTGCGTTCTGCCCATTCGATACAATGCCTCCTCTCCATGCAGGACAACTTTTGGATGTTTTCCAGTGTTTATTGCATTGTGACTAATGAGTTGCGCTTGTGTTTGCTTTGAGTGCGTGTGTGGCCCATTAAGAGTTAGCGTGGTGTTTACAACCGGCAGCGGAGGCATGTAATTAAAGCTCTCTGGCAGCACTGAAATACTGAAATATTACCCACACTGTTTTTTATTTTTATTTTTTATGCCTGCCGGAGCTGCGAGACAGATGGATTGCTCACGGTTTATCTTAAAGAGGACACATTCTGGAAAACGGACTTTTTTATGTTTATACAAACAAACACAGCAGTCGGATCACTGGAGTTTCTGCCCACCCATCAAGTGTGAAGTCGAACAAGTAAATCTTTGGTTCTGCTTATTTTTGACCCGCTGTTCCCAAACCATGAGGATAAATTTACATCATAACTACTTACCTGAAGTAGAAGGAAGAGATCACGAGGAGCAGAGGGCAAAAACCCACACCTGGACTTAACCCTTGGTTAAAAACCTCTCACTGTGGTTGAACCCTTGATTTGATACCCTAACTGCAAACCCTCCGCCGGACTTGAAACTTTATTTTGAATCCCTACTTTGAATTTACAAGAGGAAACTCGATTCGATAACCGCTATGGTCGTAAAGAAGTGAAAATATGAAATATCAATCGAACGACACGTTTGGCCCCACCTTAACAAGGACACGGTTTCTATTGGCTTTGCAGACGACGGCCTGTGGGACATCCTGATCAAGGACATCCCCAAGGAAGTGACGTCGCACACGTTCAACATGGACATTCTGAAGCAGGGCGTCAGCTACGACTTCCGAGTGATCGGCGTGAACGACTACGGTTACGGCGCGCCGAGCCTTCCCACTCCTTCCATATCAGGTACAACTTTCTGCCATAAACATTCATCTTGACGTCTGTTGTTACTCATCAATCCAGTGGAGTACAACTTTGACTCCTCCTCCTTTTTTTTTTAAATAACACTACCAGCCCAAAAAGTGTCCCCCTTCTACGAGGAGTGGTGGTTCTTGGTGGTGGTTGCCCTCGTGGGGCTCATCTTCATCCTCCTGCTGGTCTTCATCCTCATCATCCGAGGGCAGAGCAAGAAGTATGCAAAGAAGTCGGAATCAGGTGAGGCCCACCCACACGGTAACCGCGTTGCTTTAGGACTTTTTTTTTTTTTTTTTTTTTTTTTTTTTTTTTCTATCCTCCCTCTGCAATAT